TTTTAAATTCACTGGTACTGGCTATATTAATTTTGTACGGCTGATCAGTCATTATTCTGTCAGATTACACAACACTTCAAGAAAAGTAACTTCTCTTCTAACTTAGTAGGCACTTAGTAGGCTTCAGTTTCAAATCACAGCAGTCCTTATGCGATCAAACACTAACCATAGGAGGTGAGTGTCTTGTTCAAAGGTGCAGATGATGATATTATCCAAATACACCAGACTGTGTGTCCAAGGCACCAGTGAAGCTAGCAGATGCCATTTGTCAATCGGAAAGGACTTACTCTCCACTGGAATTGTCTTTGATGAGTTGAGTCTTAGGTCAGTGTTAGGCCTATCCTATTCACAGGAAGCAAAACATTGTACCTCATTGTTATGGTGGTTTCAGCTTTTCATTCCAGCTCATAAATTTTCTTTTCATTCACACCAAGAACTTTCATTCACTCCATTGGGTAGTGGGGATGCAATTCTATGCGTTGACCACCCAATCCTTGGCCAAGCGGTAATTGTCTTACATCTTGATTACCCGAACTGTTATGAGTCTTAGGATGCTTTCAGTTCAGGCCATGTAGAGCGCACATCCCTGCCGCATCGCTTAGATGTGTTTCTCAGAGTGATGGACCAGCAACCCCGCACCCTGAAAATCTTCCTGCTATGTACAGGAAACATGGAATTCAAAGGGACGGATCAAACTAGAAATTATGCGATAAGGATCCTAGTCATTTAAAACTGTGTTAATCACCATCTTTTAGCGTCCTGATTTATGTAGCTGTTGATTGTTGTATCTTCAACTTCACAACTGCTGTGAACCATTGATTAGCCCTTTTGTATCACTGTATAGTCCGTTCCTTTTGTGGCTATTGTTCACTTTTGCTACAAAAAGAGAGAGCAAGTTCCTTAAGCTCTTGAATCTCAGACGAAATTTTCTCACTTACTGGCCCCATTTTTTTTATAAACAATGGAAATTGTTATCGTATCCTTCTAAACATTGGAATTCGTGCCCTACCTTTATAGACATTGGAATTCTTATCTTATTCATCTAAATGTTAGAATTCTTGTCCTATAGTTATAAACATTTGGATTCTGACCTTATCCTTCCAAACATTGGAATTCTGGTCCAATTTTAATAAACGTGGTAGTTGTCATCTTTTCCTTGCAAACACTTGAATTCTGGCCCAATTTTTATACACTTTGGTTGTCTGATCTTATCCTTCAAAACATTGAGATACTGGCCGTTTTTCTACAAGCATTGGAATTATGATCTTATCCTTGGAAACGTTGGAATTCTGGCTCTATTTTTATACACATGGGAATTCTTATCTTACCCTTGCAGATAATATTGGTATTCTATCCCTATTTCTATAGGCATCGGAATTCTGATTCAGATTGTAATTCTGGCTCTTTTCTTTCAAACACTGGAATTCTTATCTCATTCTTTCACTGCCAACATTAAAATTGTTGCCCCATCCTTCGAAAAATGTGAATTCTGGTTTGTTTGTTTTTTTTTAAACATCGCAATTCCTATCTATCCTTCCAAACACTGGAATTCTGGTGTGTGATCTTATTCTTCAAAACATTGAGATTGTGGCCCTATTTCTGTAATCACTGGAATTATAATCTTATCGTTGCAAACCTTGAAATTGTTGCCCTTCTTTATACACATTAGAATTCTTATCTTTTCGTTCCAAGTATTGGTATTCTGATCCTATTTATATAAGCATCGGAATTCTGATCTTATTTTTCTAAACGCTGGAATTCTAATGTAATCCTTCGAAACACTGGAATTCTTATCTTGTCCTTCTAGTGCAATCATTGAATTGTGGCCCTATCCTTCCACACACTTGAATTCTGGCCTCATCTTTATACACATTGGAACTCTTATTTTATCCTTTCAAACGTTGGGATTCTGACCCTTTTTTTTATACACATTGGAATTTTCACCTCATCCTTCGAAACATAGGAATTCTGGCCCTATCTTTACACACATTTAAGTTCTGATCTTATCGTTCTAACGTTGGATTAGTGGCCCTAATTTTTAACATTGGTTTTCTGATCTTATCCTTTAAAAAAAAACTTGGGATTCTGGCCCTTTAAGCAATGGAATGATGATGTTATCCTTGCGAACATTGGATTTCTGGCCGTATTTTTATCGGAATTCTGATCTTATTCTTCCAAACATTGGAATACGGATCTTAACCTTCCAAACAATACAATTCTGGCCCTAGTTCTAGAAGGATTGGAATAATGATCTTATTCTTCCAAACGTAGGAATTCTGGTCCTGTTTTTATACACATTGGAATTTTGACCTCATGCTTTGAAACATTGAATTCTGGGCCTATTCTTATAAACGTGGAATATCTTGTCCTAGGCCTTCTTCTGCAATGATTGGAATTGTGGCCCTATCCTTGCAAACATTCTAATTCTGGCCTTATCTTTATACACATTGGAATTCTTATCTTATCCTTCTTAACATTGGAATTTTGGCCCTGTTTTAACAAACATTGGAATTCTTATCTAATCCATCCACTGCAAACATTGAAATTCATGCCTTATCCTTCCAAACACTGGAATTCTGGCCCTTTTGTATACACATTGGAATTCTTATCTTATCCACCTAAACGTTTGAATTCTGGCCCTTTTTTTTATACACCTCGTTTTTCTGATGTTATCCTTCAAAACCTTGGGATTCTGGCCCTATTTCTTTAAGCACTGGAATTATGATCTCACCCTTGCGAATTTTGATATCATCCTTCGAAACATTGCAATTCTAGCCCTATAAGTATACCCACTGAAGTTCTTATCTTATCCATCTAAACCTTGGAATTCTGGCCTTATTTTTATGCCATTGGAACTTTGACCTCATCCTTCCAAGCACAGGAATTCTGGCCCTACTTTTGTGAAAAAAGGAATTCCCATCTTATCCTTCCAGACACTGGAATTCTGGCCCTATTTTTATACACATTGGTTTCTGATGTTATCCTTCAAAACCATGGGATCCTGGCCTTATTTCTAAAAGTATTGGAATTATGATCATATCCTTGCGAACATTGGATTTCTTGTCCTATTTTTATACATATTTGAATTCTTATTAGTTCTTATCCTTCCAAAGATTGGTATTCTGATCTTATTCTTCCAAGCATTGGAATTCTGGTCCTATTGTTAAAAACATTGGAATTCTTATGTTATCCATCCACTGCCAATATTGGAATTCTTATCTTATCTCTCAAAACACTTTGATTCTGGCCCTTTTTTATAAACATTGGAACTCTTATCTTATCCTTCCACACGTTCGAATTCTGGTCCTATTTTTAGAAACATTGGAATCCTAACCCTATCCTTCCAAACATTGGAAATGCGGCCCTATTTTTTAACATTGGAATTCTTACCCTCTTTTAATGCACATTGGAGTTTTGACCTCATCCTTCGAAACATTGAAACCCTGTCGCTATTCTTATAATCATTGCAATTCTTAACTTGTCCTTCCACTGCAATCATTGGAATTCTGACCCCATCCTTCCAAACATTAGAAATCCAGCCCTATCTTTATACACATTGGAATTCTTATCTTATCCTTCCAAACGTTTGAATTCTGGCCCCTTTTTATAAACATTGGAATTTTGATCGAATTCCTTCACACTTTGGAATTCTGGCCCTGTGTTTTACAGACTGGAATTTTCAGCTCATTCTTCCTAGCATTTGAATTCTGGCCCTATTCTTACAAACATTGGAATTCTCATCTTATCCTTTCACTGGAAACATTAAAATTCTGGTCTTATCCTTCCAAACAGTGGAATTTTGGCCCAGTATTTATATACACTGGTTTTCTGATCTTAACCTTCAAAATATTGGGATTCTGGCCCTATTTCTATAAGCATTGGAATTATGATCTAATGCTTCCAAAGAATGAAATTCGAGCCCTCTTTTTATAAACACCTGAATTCTGACCTTATCCTTCCAAACACTGGAATTCTTATATTGTCCTTCTAAACATTTGAATTTTGGCGCTATATTTTACACATGAAAATTTTGATGTCATCGTTCCAAACATTGGAATTCTGGCCCTATTTTTATAAACATTGGAATTATTGCGTTATCCTTTGACTACAAACATTGGAATTCTGGCCCTATGTTTATGCACATTGGAATTCTTATCTTATCCTTCCAAACGTTGGAATTCTGGCCCTTTTTTATAAACAATGGAATTCTTGCCCTATTTTTACAAATATTGCAATTCTTATCTTATTCATCCACTGCAAACATTGAAATTCTCGCCTTATACACATTGGTTTTCTGATGGTATGCTTCAAAACATTAGAATTCTGCCCCGTTTTTTTAGAAACATTGGAATTCCTATCTTATCTTTTGTTACGAAAAATTTTATTGCGTGACTTTTAAGCGTGACTTTCTAGAAGGTTTGCGAGAGCTCATAGTTTGTTTATTTTAGGATCTTGTGTAAGCGCTTCTAAAGCGGTCTATTTTGTAATCTTTCTATAATTAGACTATTTAGAAAGTTCTAGAATGTTATTGCGAAAGTATATAAGCAGGCGAGTCCGAGTTAAGTTTTAACTAGTTTTCACAAGCGAAGAGAGTTTGACGTTGGTCGTGTTTAGTCAAGTGTGACGAAGGCAGTGTTTATTCAAGTTGGCGGAGGCCGTGTAAGTTTATGAAGTTAATCGAAGTTGGCGGAGGCCGTGCAAGTTTATCAAGTTACCCGCTGTTGTGGAGTTTTACTTCGTGGAAACTACGTTCATTTTTGGAATAAATGTTCTTGTTGCTGTTCCGAGAACCCTGCGTTCAGTTTGGTCTGCAAGCTACCCGTCCTCTAAAAGATTACCCGCGTAACATTGGGAGCCTGTCCTGGGAGAGGAATTCAATTGTTTGCCGACTACAGTAACCAGGAAAGGATAGTTCAAGGAGAAGGAGTTACAGGAAAAGTAAACAGAACTGTTACGAGGAAGAATATATTTAGCGTTTGCTGTGAACCCGCGCTGTGAGAATGGATAAGTTTATACAGATTGGAGAAAAGTTTGGGTTGGATGAAGAAAAACTGCTCGAGTTTGTGCGGGAGCAACTGAAGTTAGAAGAGGAAAAAAAAGAAAAACGTTGAAAACTTGAGGAGGAAGGAAGGAGGGAAGAGGAAGAGAAAGAAGAAAAACGTAGACAATTGGAAGAGGAAAAAGAAGAAAAACTTAGACAATTGGAAGAGGAAAGAGAAGAAAAGTATAGGCAGTTAGACGAAGAAAAAGAAGAGAGACGTCGAGTACTTGAAGAAGACAGAAGAAAGGAAGAAGAAGAGAAAGTGGAAAGGCGTAGAAGAGAACACGAAGAAAGAGAAGCTAGGCGGCAAGAACGCGATCTGAGAAAATTAGAGCTGGAAGCAGAACTGTTGAAGCAGAGAGAGGCTATTGAAGCCGCTAATAGAGAGCATGAACTAGAGCTCACTCGTCTAGGACAAGGCCGTAACGATACCCAACGTGCTGGAGTGAGAGAAGATAGGGCCAAGGCACCCAAGCTTCCCTCATTTGTTGATGGCAAGGATGACTTGGATGCTTACCTACAACGATTTGAGAGGTTCGCAACTACAGCTAAATGGGAGAAGACCGGATGGGCTTCGAAACTTAATTCTTCTGTCAAGTTGCACCAATACACTGAAGGCTATCAGATACTTAAACAAGATTGAAGGTCCAGAAAACATGAGGAAGATTATCGCGAGACTACCACCTAAACTGCAGAGTAGCTGGCGAGACAATGCTGATCGTATCCTCAATGCAGACAAGAGAGAAGTTTGTATCGAAGACATTGCGTCATTTGTTGAAGAGAAGTCACGTGCCCTAAGTAATCCACTCTTCGGAAAACTTCCTTTCTTGACTAAGGATAAGAAGAAGAGCCAGATGCGAGGGGCGAAGTCAAAACCCAAGGGTTCTGGGCCTGGTGCGAGAGAGCTTAGTAACTTCTCCACTTCATCTCAGAAGAGTCCCATGGATCAAAACAAGTCTCAAGAGAAGAAGTCTGAAGATCTCTCGAAAAGGAGTTGTTTGTTTTGCCGTCAGATCCATAATCTCGTAGACTGTCCTGCGTTTGCTAAAATTCCCATCCGTGAACGTTTCGACTTTGTAATGAAGCAAAGATCAATCAAGGGGATGCTACAAGAAGAAGCCGTGTTCACATTGTAACAGAAGACATGCTTCGCTGATGCACTCTGATTCTTCAGAAGACACGCATGAGCAGCCCACACCTGAGAATGCAAGTCAACAACCTGCTAGAGGTACAAGGAAGGAAGATCAGAACAGATCCCAGCGAGATGTTAATCAGAAGAGTTTATTAAGTGACGAGTCGAGTGGCGTCGGGCGCCTCTGCAATTTGACGACCACGGAGGGTCCTGCGACTGCGTTGCCAATTTACCAGTAAAAGTCAGCGCACAAGGAAGTCCCTTTTGCATCGAGACCTACGGCCTCTTGGATACGGGTTCCAATTCCACTTTCTGCTCTAACATGCTTTTGGATCGTCTTGGCGTTAAAGGGAAGCATTTGAAATTGAAGTTAACTACGATGGGTACAGCAGAGGAGGTTGACAGTGTCGTGGCCAGTGGTTGATTGATGTCGGACTTGGATGAAAATGTTGTCCCATTAAGGGAGGTTTATTCCAGACCTACTATGCCTGTGTCTAAGGATGAAGTCCCCAAACAGGAAGATGTAAATAGATGGCCACATCTTAGAGGCTTCGTCTACCTAACAGAGCTGAACTCTCAAGTTGATCTATTAATTGGGTCAGATATCCCAGAAGCTTTACAACCGAAAGAAATTAGCCCAGCTGCCGGAGGTGACCCCTACACTAGTAAGGTGGAGTTCGGTTGGCTTATCAATGGCCCAAGAGGAAGAAAGCCAAGATATGTCCCTTGTGCTTGTTACCTCACCAAGTCTATTGGCGTCCATCCTATGTGCGTGGCGTGTGCTGACTTCGCGGATGCGTGTTTAAATGATGGCGCAGGAATGTCTCGTGAAGATCTAAAGTTCATGAACATTGTGGAAGATTCGGTTATGCAGTGTGAGGATGGCCATTACCAAGTTCGTTTACCCTTTCATAATCCAAGTTTGACGTTGCCTGCTAATATATGCCAAGCCGAGCGCAGAGCCCTCTCCCTGAGACGTAAATTCCTCAAGGATGCCAGATTTCAAGAAGACTACGTTGCATCTCTTCAAAGCGTAATGCAAGAAGGTTTCCCTGAAAAGGTTCCCTCTGAAGATCTGTGTAGAGCTGACGGAAAGGTCTGGTATATTCCACACCATGGGGTGTATCACTGCAAAAAACCTGAGAAGATAAGGGTCATCTTCGATTGTTTCGCTCAGTTCCAAGAGATGTCTTTGAATAGCGAATTGCTGCAGGGTCCTGATTTGACCAACAACCTGGTTGGAATACTGCTTCGTTTCCGACAAGACCCAGTGGCTGTAATGGGAGATGTACAATGTATGTTTCACCAAGTGTGTGTTCCTGTGGAGGATCGTGACTTTCTGTGGTTTCTCTGGTGGCCGGGTGGAGATCTCGCTAAGGGTTTGGAAGAGTACCGAATGACCGTGCATCTTTTCGGTGCAGTTTCGTCGCCTAGTTGTGTTAATTTTGCCATGCGTCAAAATGGTGAAGATCACCAGCACGAGTTTTCGCCTGAAGTCGTTTCTACTGTTCTGAAGAACTTCCATGTCGATGACTGCTTGAAATCTTTACCTTCCAGTCATGAAGCAATTAAGCACGTTTGTGATCTGCGCAACCTGATGAATAATGGAGGCTTTAACTTGACGAAATGGGTCAGCAACGATCGCCTGGTATTAGAGTCCATACCTGTCGAAGATAGATCGAAAGGAACTAAAGAGTTGACCTAACCTGCGATGCGCTCCCAGTAGGGAGGGCCTTGGGGGTGTCATGGTTCTGGAGGCTGACCAGTTTGGCTTTAAGGTGGTCATTAAAGATAGGCCGTGTACTAGGCGTGGCATACTTTCAGCTGTCAGTTCGTTATATGATCCTCTGGGTATGGCAGCTCCTTTCATTCTTTCTGCAAAGCTTCTCCTACAGGATTTGCGATCGAAAGATGCGTCAAACCTCTCAAGTCCTCGGATATCGCTTCATGTCAGATCAATTATTTCTGTGACACCTCTCAGGTGGCCTATGGCACCGTATCGTATCTTCGCTTAGTCGACATGCAAGGTCGGATTTTCTGTTCATTCCTTATTGGCAAGTCCTGCCTGGCTCCCTTGAAGGTAACTACCATCCCTCGATTGGAGTTGACTGCTGCCACCGTATCAGTTCAGCTGAACAAGATTTGCAGATACCCATCGATAAAGTGACCTTTTGGACAGATAGCATGACCGTCATACAATACATCACGAACGAGTCGAAGCGTTTCTATACCTACGTGGCAAACCTTGTTGCCTTCATCAGAGAGGAATCCAGCCCGTCCTAATGGAGATACATCGACAGCAAATCCAATCCTGCTGATGAAGCCTCACGGGGCGTTACCGCAGACGTGTTTGTTCATAATGGCCGTTGGTTAAAGGGCCTGGTTTTTCTTTTAACAACCAAGTCTGAGTGGGCGGACCATGTCCTAGAAAGCATAGTGCTGACCGAGAATGATCCGGAAATCAAGCAAGAGCCCAAATAATTCGCTGTATCCGTCAGCAAAGTTTATGCTAGCGTTGTTTGTATCGTGAAACGGTTTAGCTCCTGGATCAAGTTGTTGAAATTTATTGCACTGTGTCTTCGCTGCCAGAGAAGATTTCGAATAAGAAAGAGAGAGCCTGAGCCTGGCCCGAATGTTGGTGCCCTCAGCTTGGAGCCAATGTCTTGTCAAGACTTAGACTCTGCAGAAAGAGAACTAATTATGTTTGACCAGAGGAATGCATTTCCTGAGGAAATTGAAACCATCAAGAAAGGAGGCTATGTAAAGAAGTCAAGCTGCCTTGCAAAGTTAAGCCCAGTCCTAATTGGTGGTGTACTTCGCGTTGGCGGATGACTTAGCAGAGCTCCTTTACCTGACTAATCGAGGCATCAGATAATTATCTCCAAGGATTCTCCACTTGGTGTACTGCTTATCAGGTTCTTTCACGAGAAAAGTGGTCACTTTGGGAGAGAATACGTGCTAGCTCTCTTGCGCAAGCGATTTTGGTTGATTCGAGCCAACACAACGGCAAGAAGTGCACTGTCGTCCTGTTTCCGGTGTAAACGTCGCCATGGCGCCGCTGGAGAACAGAAAATGGCCAACTTACCTCATCCCAGGGTCACTCCAGATCAACCCCCCTTTACAGGTGCTGGAATTGATTATTTTGGTCCTTTCGTTGTCCGCCAAAAGAGAAGCTTGGTAAAGAGATATGGAGCTATTTTCACATGTTGGGCCTTGAGAGCAGTCCATCTGGAGATTTCTCACACATTGGACACAGATTCCTTTATCTTAGCTCTTAGAAGATTTATTGCCCGCAGTGGTCAGGTTAAAGAGATTCGTTCAGACAATGGTACGAATTTCATGGGAGCTGAAAAGGAACTTCGCGTTATGATCTCAGGTTGGAATCAGGCTAAGATTCACGACACCGTTCTACAGAAAGGTATCAAATGGGTCTTCAATCCTCCCGCGGCTTCCCACCACGTTGGAGTCTGGCAAAGACTTATCAGATCCACTCACAAGATTCTTGGAGCTTTGACCAAGGAGCAAGTCCTTGATGACGAATGTCTTCAAACCTTATTGTGTGAAGCTGAGAGTATCATCAATGGAAGACCGCTGACCAAGTTCCTGACGATTTGGAGCCTATTATGCCAAATCACCTCCGACTACTTCGCCAAAATGACTCTCTACCACCAGGGCTGTTTGAAAAGAACAACACTTATTCCAGGAGAAGATGGCGTCAAGTGCAGTATTTGGCAAATGTGTTCTAGGGTCGATGGAAATGAGAATACCTTCCTTCGTTGCAGGAGCGCTAGAAATGGTTTCGACCGAGAAGAAACTTCACTTTTGGAGACACGGCTATCGTTGATGAATCGACGCCCAGGAATGTGTGGCCGATTGGTCGAATCACAGAAGTGTTCACAGATAAAGATGAGAGAGAGTCAAAACCAAGACCTCCACTTTGGAGTGACCCATTACGAAGCTATGTTTGCTGGAATCTATTAAACGTTGAAAGTGTCTAGTTTTCCCGGATTTGTTCAAGAGACTTTGCGTGACTTTCACTGAGCTTACGTGATGTTCTATCAAGTCTGAACAATGAAGCCTGTTGAGGCACTTAGGCCTTGGTGACACTATTTTTCGCTTAAGGAGTTTGGCGTTAAAAATAATTATTGTTTTCCTTAGTTAATTTTTGTGTTAGTTCCTGGTTCCCTTTTTTTCTATAATATTAGGTAAATACAACCGATTTTAGGGGCTGGAATGTAAGTGCCAGGAATGTTTTCCGTTACCTTTATAGTATTTTTATGTTTGCCGCGTTTTTAGTTATTTTCGTGTTCGCACCTTTAGTGCTGTTTTTTGGTTCATTAGTTTTTCATTGTCTGCATAGCTTTGTCCTTCGTGTCAGGGTTTTTCTGCATATCGTACACTTAGCTTTATTGTAGTGTCAGTTCTTCGTTAGTTGCGCTTGGTCCAGTTTACGGTTTAATGTTCGGGTCTTTGCTCGTCCTTGTATTTCATCCTTATCTCGCTATCGTCTTGTAAGTATCTCGTTTGTTTTATTCGCATTTCCAGTTTGCCTTATTGCTTTCGTTCAGTTTGTAGATTATTTAATCTTGACTTTGTATTTGTTTGTTACTTTTCAGTACCGCCATACTTCACATCGCTTCGCTTTGGTTCGCTTGTGTCCCTTCACCAGTTTTAGAAGTCCTGAAAACTAAAATAAAGTTTGTGTGTTGAAAACTGTAGCGCATAAAGGCTGCGACTATACGATGCTTTTCACATTTCTATATGCATGGGAATTATGATCTTATCCGTTCGAACGTTGTAACTCTGGTCCTATTTTTATAAACATTGGAATTCTTATCTTATTGTTCCAAACACTGGAATTCTGGCCCTATTTTTATACACTGTGGAATTCTTATCCTATCCTTACAAACATTGGTCATCATCAAGTCTCATCATGACAGTAGGCGCATAAGGCTTCCACGTTGTCTGACAAATGCTTTCAGTTTTGTGCAACCCCTTTGGTACTTCCCAGCTCTTCCACCCAGCTTTGTTTCGCTCTTTCTCGACTGTCGTTCTCCAAGTAGTTTTTGGTCTTCCTCTTGCCCTCCGTCCTTCAGGAGTCCATCTTAACACTGTAGAACAGTCGTTCTCACCCTCTCTCCTTAGTATGTGACCTAGCCAGTTCCACCTTTTTCGTCGCACTTCACAGCTTATGTCATTGACCTCAGCCAACTCAAGCACTCTCTTGTTTGTCATTCTCTGCTGCCATGTAACACAATAGCTCCCAGGGATGGAAACTCCTCAACGTCGTCCACTTCTTCGCCATCCACCACAATCTTCTCCCTGTTACTAGCACACACAGTCCTTAGTGTCTTAAACGTTTTTGTACCTACTCTGACTGCTTCCTCCGCCAATTTCCCAGTCTTTTTATGCAAGTCATTGAACTTAGATGACAGTATCTGTGAAATCAAGGTCCTCCATCACTGTTGTGAAATTCCACCTTATCCCTCTTCTCTTGCCTGCTGGAAGTCTGGACCTATTCTTATACGCAATTGAACTTGTCAACGGACACTTCAGAAGTGCTTTATGCAGTCAAAAATACCTGAAAACGGAATAGGTGCTATTATTTTTGTGTTGTTCTTGCACTGCAATCATTGGAATTCTGGCCCTATCTTTATACGCGTCGCAATTCTTGTGTTATCCTTTCACAAACTGGTATCTTAGCCCTATAACTAAAAGAATTGGAATTCTGATCTTATTCTTGCGACATTGGAATTCTGATCTTCTGCGTCCAAATAATAAAATTCCCCCCTGTGTTTTTGATAAGCTTTTGAGATATAATCTTATCCTTTCAAACATGGGAATTCAGAGCTTCTGCATTTAAACATTGGAATTCTGGCACTATCTGTGTACACGTTGGAATTCTGGCCCTTTTTCATAAACATTGGAATTCTCATCTTATCTATACACACTTTGGAATTATGGCCCTATTTTTTACACATTGGAATTCCCCCTTATCCTTCCAAACATTTGAAGTCTGGTCCTATTTCGTTAATCACTGGAATTCTGGCCCTATTCTTACAAACATTGGAATTCTTATCTTATCCTTCCACTGGAAGCAACGAATATCTGGCCTCATCCTTCCAAACACTGGAATTTTGGCTTATTATTTATACACATTGGTTTTCTGATCTAATCCTTCAAAACACTGGAATTCTTATATTGTCCTTCTAAACATTTGAACTCTGGCCCTATATTCTACACATTGGAAGTTCGATATTATCCTTCGAAGCATTGGGATTCTGGCATATTTTTATAAACATTGCAATTTTTATCTTATCCTTCCACTGGCCCTATTTTTATAGACGTTGGAATTTCTACGTCACCCTTCTAAACATTGCTGTTCAGGCCATATCTTTATACACATTCAAATTCTTATCTTATCCTTCTAAACTTTGGAATTTGGACTCTATTTTTATACACATTGGAATTTTCATCGTATCGTTTAAAACACTGTCATTCTCGCCCTATTTTTATACCTTTGGCATTTTTATGTTATCCATCTAAACGTTCGAATTTTGACCCTATTTTTATACACATTGGTTTTCTGATCTTATCCTTCAAAACCTTGGAATTCTGCCCCTTTTTCGGTACATATTGGAATTCTTATCTTATCATTTCAAGGACTGGTATTCTGGCCCTATTTCTATAAGCATTGGAATTCTTATCTTATTCTTCCAAACATTGAAATTCTCATCTCATCCTTTCAGATGATGGAATTCTGGCCCTTTTTCTATAAGCATTGGAATTGTGATCTTATTCATTCCAACACTGAATTTCTGATTTTATTATTATACACATTGGAATTTTTACCTCATCCTTCGAAACATTGGAATTCGGGCCCTATTCTTACAAACGCTGCAATTCATATCTTGTTTTTCCACTGCAAACATTGGAATTCTTGCCCTATCCGTCCTTACATTTGAATTCCAGCTTTATCTTTATACATATTGGAACTTTGACCTCCTGCATCCTTCCTAATTTTGGGATTCTGGCCCTCTTCTTAATTGGAAGTCTTATTTCATCCTTTCAATGCAAACATTTGAATTATGATCTTATTCTTCCAAACACTGGAATTCTGGCCCTATTTTTATACAGAATGGAATGTTTCAGTCTTCCTTCGAAACATTGGACTTCTGCTCCTATTTCTATAAAAACTGGAATTCGTATCCAGTCCTTCCACTGAAATCATTCTAACTCTGGCCCTATTTTTATAGACATTCGAATTCTCATCTAATCCATCCACACCTTGGAATTCTCGCCTTCTGTTTTTTTGGACATTGGAGTTTTGATCCAATCCTTTCAAACATTAGAATTCTCGCGGTCTTCTTACAAACATTAGAATTCTTATCTAATCCTGCCACTGCAAACATTGAAATTCTAGCCTTATCCTTCCACACATTGGAATTATAGCCCATTATTTATACACGTTGGTTTTCTGATCTAATCCTTCAAAGCATTGGGATTCTGGGCCTAATTGTCTAAACACTGGGATTCTGGCCCTATTTTTGAAAATATTGGAATTCTTATCTTATCCTTCCACTGCAAACATTGCAACTTTGCCGTATTTTTATAAACATTAGAATTCTCAACTTATCCTTTCAAAGATCTTATTCTTCCAACCTTTGGAATTCTGGCCCTATTCTTAAAGACACTGGAATACCTATGTTATCCTTCCACTGCAAACATAAGAATTCTGCCTTACTTTTATAAACATTCAAATACTTATTTTATCCTTCCAAACCCTGGAATTCTGGCCTTTTCTTATACATTTTTTTTTCTTATGCGATCCTTCTAAACACTGGTATTATGGCCCTCTTTTTATACACATTAGTTTTCTGATCTTATTTTTTAAAACCTTGGAATTCTAGTGCTATTTCGGTAGGTATTGGAATTCTTATCTTATACGTTTATAGACTGGTATTCTGGCCCTTTTTCTATAAGCATTGGAATTATGATCTTACTCATCCAAACATTGGGATTGTTATCTTGTCCTTCCACTGCAAACATTGAAATTGTGGCCCTATCCTTTTAAGCGTTAGAATTCTGGCCCTATTTTTATAAACATTCTTATTCTCATCTTATCGTTCTAAACACTGCAATTCTGGCCGTATTTTTATACACACTGGCATTCCTATCTTATCGATTTAAACGTTGGAATTTTGGCCCTACTTTTATACACGTTGATTTTTTTTATCTTATCCGTCAAAACCCTTCGATTCTCGCCCTATTTCTTTAAGCATTGGAAGTCTTATCTTATCCTTTCAAACATGTAATTCTGGCCCTTTTTGTATAAGCATTGGAGTTATGTTCTTATCTATCCAAACGCTGGAATTTTCACTCTTACTGGAATTTTGACCTCATCCTTCGAAACATTGAAATCCTGGCCCTATTGTTATAAACACTCGAATTCTTATCTTGTCCTTCACTACAAACATTCAAATTCTGGCCCGTATTCTTCCAAACATTGGAATTCTGGTCCTATCTTTATAAACATTGCAATTCTCATTTTATCCTTCCAAGCACCTCAATTTTAGCCCTTGATTTATAGACTTTGGTTTTCTGATCTTATTCTCAAAACATTGGGATTCTGGCCTGTTTCTTTAAGCATTAGAGTTATGATCTTTTTCTTCCAAACATTGTAATTTTGGCCCTATTCTTAAAAACATTGGAATTGTTATCTGTTTTCCACAGAAAACATTGGAATTCTGCCCTATTTTTAAAAACACTAGAATTCTCATCTTCTCCTTCCGGACACTGGAATTCTAGTCCTTTTTTACATACATTCATTGGTCATTGGAAATTCTCGACTGTCCTTCTCCAAGTAGTTTTTGGTCTTCCTCTTGCCCTCCGACCTTCAGGAGTCCATCCTAACGCGGAAAGCAGTCGTTCTCACCCTCTCTCCTTAGTATGTGACCTAGCCAGTTCCACCTTTTTCGTCCCACTTCACAGCTTATGTCATTGATCTCAGCCAATTGAACTACTCTCTTATTTGTCATTCTCTACCGCCATGTAATGCGCAGCATCCGTCTCAAGCACTGGTACTGGAAGCTACTTAGCTTTCGTTCATCGTTCTTGGTGATCTTGGCTCTCCTTCCTATTTCTCTAGCTGCCCAGATGCTCCTTAGTCTCTGGAATGCGCCACGTGCTTTCTCCAGACGGTGGATAATGTCCTCCACCCTCTTTGTCTAGAATAGCTCTTAGGGATGTAAACTCCTCAACGTCATCCACCTCTTCGTCATCCACCACAATCTTCTCCCTGTTACTAGCACACTCAGTCCTTAGAGTCTTACACTTTCTGGCATTATGTTTTTTGTTCCTACTCTGGCTGCTTCCTCCGCCAATGTTCCAGTCTTATTATGACAGTCATTGAACTTAGATGACAGTAGTGAAATGTCATCTGCGAAATCAAGGTCCTCCAGCACTGTTGTGAAATTCCACCTTATCCCTCTTTTCTTGCTGGCTGTTGCCTTCCTCATGACCCAATCCAAGCACAGTAAGAATAGGAATCCCGACATCACGCACCCACCTTGATCATAAACCAGTCAGATGTCACATTCCCATCCACAACTGCGCACTCAAATCTCGCGTATATGTCCGCTATCACCCTCACCATCTTGTCTGGTATCCCATAACTCCTCATGATATTCCATAGGCTTTCTCTGTGTACAGAGTCAAAGGCTCTTTCAAAGTCTAGAAAGTGTGCATACAGACCCGCCCTGCACTCATTTGCCGGCTCTAAGATGTTTCTAAGTGTAAAGATCTGTTCAGTTGTACTTCTATTGGGTCGAAACCCAGCCTGCTTCTTTCGAAGTTTCTTGTCTACGCCTTTCTTGATCCGCTTCAACAGCATCCTACAGAATATCTTATTAATGACAGGTAGTAAAGTCACTCCTCTCCAGTTGTTGCATTCGCGCAAATCGCCTTTGTTGAATACCTTAACAGGTCCCTTCTTCCACACTTTCAGCCACGTCTCAGTTTCCCAAAGCCTGTTGTAACATTTAGTCAGCCTACTTGCAAATTCTTCCATGTCAGCTCTCAGTAATTCTGGACACACCTCATCTACTCTAGCCGCTTTCCCTGGCTTTGTCCTCTTCAATGCATCCTTGACCTCTTGTAATGGTCATCTTCCTAGATCTATTTCCTTAATCTCTCCCAATTCTACTATCTCATCCTCTTCCACAGTATTCGTTGGGTCATTTCTGTTTAATATTTCACTAAAGTGCCCCACCCATCTCTGCAGTCCTTCTCTTGCTTCAGTCCTAAGCACCCCTTGTTTGTCCTTAACACCTATTTCTTGTTTGCGCCTTTCTCCAGTTATCGACTCAGTAATGCTGTATACTCCTTGCTCCTACAATTCTCAGCGGCCTTTTCCGCTGCTGCAGCCCCCTTCTCTAACCAATTTCTCCTATCCTCCCTCGCTTGCCGTTTCTCTTCGTTGTTCTTCGCATTATACTCCTCCCTCCATCTCTGTTTCAGTCGTTCCGATCTCCAATTTCAATTTTGACTCCTTCCTCTCCTTGATCTTTTCCAATGTTTTGCTTCCTATCCACGGCCTACTATGTTTCTTTGACCTCCCCACGACTTTCTTTGCTGCATCTCTCTATGTTGCCAAAATCATGTCGTGTTCTTCCTCTGGATCATCTATGTCTCCTAAAGCTTCAAACCTATTCCTCATCTCAGTGTTGTACCTCCTCCTGATCTCTTTACTTTGCAGTTTACTTACGTCAAACCTTTCTCTTACGTTCTTCCTCCCCTCAGCTGTTCCTAACTTTAGACGTATCCTCGTCTAAAGTACAAGGATTGTTAGTCTTGTCCTATTTCTATAAGTATTGGAATTCCGATCTTATTCTTCCAAGCGCTGGAATTCTTATCTTATCCTTCCAAACAATGGAATTATGCCCTTATTTATCCAAACATTTGATTTCTGGCTTTATTATTATACACATTGGAATTTTTACCCCATCCTTCGAAACACGGGAATTCTGGCCCTATTCTTACAAACACTGCAATTCATATCTTGCTTTTCCACTGCAAACAATGGAATTCTTGCCCTATCCGTCCTTGCATTTGAATTCCAGCTTTATCTTTATACATATTGGAATTTTGACCTCCTGCATCCTTCCTAACTTTGGGATTCTGGCCCTAAATTTATAAAAATCGGAATTCTGGCCCTATTCTAACAAACACTGGAATTCTTATTTCATCCTTTCACTGCAAACATTGAAATTCTGGTACTTTCCTTTTAAAACATTGGAATTCTGGCCCTATTTTTATACACGTTGGTTTTTTCATCTTATCCTTTAAAACCTTGGGATTCTGGTCATATTTTTGGAAGCATTTCAATTATGATCTTATTCTTCCAAACATTGGAATTCTGGCCCTATTTTTATACCGACTGGAATTTTTGAGTCTTCCTTCGAAACATTGGACTTCCGCTTCTATTTCTAAGAACATTGGAATTCTTATCTAGTCCTTCCACTGAAATCATTCTAATTCTGGCCCTGTTTTAATGACATTGGAATTCTCATCTAGTCCATCAATCCCTTGGAAATCTTTTTTTGCACATTGGAATTTTTATCTAATCCTTTCAAACATTATAATCCTCGCCTTCTTCTTTCAAACATTAGAATTATAACCCTATCCTTCCACACGTTGGAATTGTGGTCCTATTTTTATGAACACTGCGTTTCTCCTTTTATCCTTCCAAACACTGGAATTATAGCCCTCTGTTTATACACATTGGTTTTCTGATCTTATCCTTTAAGAGATTGGGATTCTGGGCCTATATGTCTAAGCGTTGGAATTACGATCTTATTCTTCAAACGTTGGGATTCTGGCCCTTTTTGGAAATTGGAATTCTTATCTTATCCTTCCACTGCAAACATTGCAATTCTGCCCTATTTTTATAAACATTGGAATTCAATTTTTATGTTATCCTTCCACTGAAAACATTGGAATTGTGACCTTATCCTTCGAGAAAATTGGAATTCTGGCCCCATTTTTATGCACAAAGGAATTTAAATCTTTTCTTTCGAAACGTTGGAAAATGGCGTTATTTTTATAAACATTGGAATTCTGATGTTATCCTTGCAAACACTGGAATTCTGCCCCTATTTTTATAAGCTTTGGAATTATGGTCTTATCTCTCCAAACATTTTAATTCTAGCCCTATTTTTATAGACATTGGAATTTTGACCTCATCCTTCGAAACATTGCACCTCTGGCCTTATTATTTTTTTTTAAACATTGGAATTCTGGCCCTCTTTTGATACGCGTTGGTTTCCTGATCTTATCCTTTAAAACCTTGGGATTCTAGTCCTATTTCTATAAGTATTGGAATTCTGATCTTATCCTTCGAGACACAGGAAGTCTGGACCCATTCTTATAAACAATTGAACCAGTCAACGGACACTTCAGAAGTGCTTTATGCAGTCAAAAATACCTGAAAACGGAATAGGTGCTATTATTTTTGTGTTGTTCTTGCACTGCAATCATTGGAATTCTGGCCCTATCTTTATACGCGTCGCAATTCTTGTGTTATCCTTTCACAGACTGCTATCCTAGCCCTGTAACTATAAGAATTGGAATTCTGATCTTATTCTTGCAAACATTGGAATTCTGATCTTCTGCGTCCAAATAATACAATGCCCACTGTGTTTTTGATAAGCATTTGAGATATAATCTTATCCTTTCAAACATGGGAATTCAGAGCTTCTCCTTCCAAACACTGGAATTCTGATCTTATTGTTCTAACATTTGGAATTCTTGCCAAATTGTGAAAGACATTGGAATTCTTATCTTATCCTTCTTAACTTTGGAATTTCGACTCTATTTTTACACCCATTGGAATTTTCATCTTATCGTTTAAAACACTGGAACTTTGGTATTTTTCTCCCATACATCTAAACGATCGAATTTCGACTCTATTTATATACACATTGGTTTTCTGATCTTATCCTTCAAAACATTGGGATTCTTACCCTATTTCTCTAAGCACTGGAACTATGATCTTAATCTTCCAAACATTGGAATTCTGATCTTATTGTTCCAACCTTTGGAATTCTTGCCCTATTGTTAAAGACATTGGAATTCTTATCTTATCCTTCCACTGCAAACATCAGAATTCTGCCCCAGCTTAATAAACATTGAAATACTAATTTTATCCTTCCAAACGATAGAATTCTGGCCCTTTATTATACAAATTGGTTTCCTTATTCGATCCTTCTGAACACTGGAATTATGACCCTCTTTTTATACACATTAGTTTTCTGATCTTATCCTTCAAAACCTTGGAATTCTGGCGCTATTTCTGTAGATATTGGAATTCTTGTCTTATCCTTTCAAAGACTGGTATTCTGGCCCTATTTCTATAAGCACTGGAATTCTTATCTTATTTTTTTCCAGACACTGGAATTCTTATCTCATCCTTTCAGATGATGGAATTCTGGCCCTTTTTCTATAAGCATTGGAATTATGATCTTATTCATTCAAACATTGGAATTATTATCTTTTCCTTCCACTGGAAACATTGAGATTGTGGCCCTATCCTTCCAAGCATTGGAATTCTGGGCCTACTTTTATAAACATTGGAATTCTCATCTTATCGTTCCAAACATCTTATCCTTCAAAACCCTTGGATTCTCGCCTATTTCTGTAAGCATTGGAATTCTTATCTTATCCCTTCAAACATGGAATTCTGGCCCATTTCTATACACATTGGAGTTATGATCTATTTAACCAAACACTGGAATTTTCGCCCTATTTTTATACTTACTGGAATTTTGACCTGATCCTTCGAAATATTGAAATCCTGGTCCTATTGTTATAAACACTCGAATTCTTATCTTGTCCTTCCACTGCAACATTCAAATTCTGGCCCGTATCCTTCCAAACATTGGAATTCTGGTCCTGTCTTTATAAACATTGCAATTCTCATTTTAGCACTTAAATTTTAGCCGTTGATTTATACACTTTGGTTTTCTGATCTTATTCTCAAAGCATTGGAATTCTGGCCTTTTTCTCT